TTAAGTTTCGGAGCTCAAAGATGCAGTCGGTAAATCTAACGTAACGCCGTTGCTGTAGGATGCGAGCGTCATCTTACAGGCTCAGTCGACTATTCTTAAAACTGTGATTTGCAAGTAATATTAGTTTGTTGTCAACATAAAAATTTTTTCTTTTTGAATGAAGTATTTCACGGCTTTTTTTTGCACAACTGCATCTTTAATCAATTTGGATCATGCCGTCAAGAAGTTTCTAGATTGGCTATTCTGTTTGGTGTACCTAATTGTTTGCCTATAGCTTTGTTACTTGATGTTTCAACTCTTTTGCGCTTATCTGTCCGTTTTACGCTTTTAGTTAAGCCATCTTTGAAGTAACGCGATATTATGATTGAAAAAAAGCATCTTATAATGTTAAATCAATTGCATTAAAAGCACTGCAGAGACCGCATATTTGCGAACGGCTTTTCTTAACGGTGAAAAAAGGGTGGGAAAAGGGGACGAATAACGAAGCGCCAGCCAAGAGGCTTGGAAGAGGGGAAGGTGGTTGAAAAAATGGAAGTTTTGCTTTAGTGATACATACTTTCGGTCACTGCATTTTATAAACCCTAGTTGTTTTCTTTCAAGAGATCATGTTTGTAAAATAAAAATTTTGCTGCCAATTGCCTAGTATATAATATTTTTTGAGTCGGTTTAGGAATGTTTAGTTTTTTGTTCTGAGAATAAGAACAGAAATTTTGTCTTTTACAGAAAATAAATGTGCTGATAACTAAACCGTTTTCCAGGATTATTCAGTTGGGGAAGGATTGATGATAAGAATTTAAGAATAAAGTATTAGAAATAAAGTACTTGTTGAAATAAATTAAAAACTGAGCTAATATAAAGCCGTATTCCGAGCAAATAACTGTTTCACATCGTACCATTTTACTTTGATTTAACATTTTTCACACTACTATCAGGCTCACTTGACGTTTTTGAATAGTATTAACCTAAATAAACTGTATATTTCAAAATTTCTTTCTTTTTTTTTTTGTACTAATGTCAGGCTTATGATACCTTTCTCACCAGTATCTTTTCGAACGCACTGTTGCCATTGTTCCGCTTTTTTACCGGTTTTCATGTCTCAAAGTAAGTTATGGCAATATTGAAGCAGTATATTATTTCTACCGCGCATTCGTTACATCTTTATGTTACTTTTTTCTTTTTTGTAAGTTTAGCGAAATAAGAGCAGTAATTGAAAATGTTACTACTGTTTTATGTGTTGGCAAATCCATCCTTTATTAATTCTCTTTCTCTTCGTCGTTCAGACCTTTTAATGTTTCATCTGATTCAAACCTAAGCACATAATTGACAACTGTTCAGTTGGCATTGAGAAGCTGATTTGTCAGCAGTCAGAGAATACTTGAACAGAAATAATTTTGCGCTTAATACGATTTTTTAAAAGGGTAGGTAACGACAATTCAAAAAATCAGCATTAGGATAGTCATGTGTACAACTTTTTCTTAATATTGTCATAAAGCTTAACCATTCAGCAGCGCTAATTTTAGTAGGACACTTGGCAGTAGGACACTCGTTAACCGGATTGCTTTAAAAAATGACGAAATTGATACGTTTATTTAATGTTGTTTGATATCGGGATTAGACAAGTACTGATTGTTGGGAAATACCTGTCTGATTTCTCAGATAATCCCTCTTCTAGTTTTCCTTAAAAATGAAATACTTTTGGACATTTTTAAACTGAAGTTATTTCTAACTGGGAACCCGCCAAACAATTATTGCTTTTGTTTTATTTTTAGATGCTGTAATAGATATTTGGGTATTAGAGTGACATATCAACTATTCCTTTTATGAAACTTTTTCAGCACGCTAGTAAAAGGCATTTCTTTTAGTTGAAAAATTCTAAAATAAAATTGACTGCAAAAAGGTTTTAGAAAAACAAAATTCTGTGCATTAATAATTCTGTATTTCAATTGAATATTTTAGCCTCATCGGTGTATTTTTTATGAACTAACCAACCTCAGTTTAGACTGTATCCTCGCAGTTTATCTTTGAAATCTTGAAAAGATGAAAAATTTTTAGAAACAACGCGGCAGAAAAGTATTTTTATAGTATTAGCCAGAAAATGAAAAAAAGCAAATAACATAAGTTGGTCTTAGCTATCTCTTTATAGTGAGCATAAAAAACCCATGATTTTACAACTTAAATTTAGCACAGGTCGAAAACTGCATGATTACTGGTAACCTTGTTAGTGTTTTCGTTATATTTAATTCTAAGCACCACCGCCATGTTCATCTTTCAAAAACATTTGAAAATTTTACCTTTTCATTTACACTTTTTTCCATCCTTATGTGGTAAAAAGAAAAAAATTTTCTTTTAGCAGTTTTCTCAGCGTCTTCTTTTTCTTCCCCCTCAGTAAAGGTCTATTACATTTTTTCGAACAAATATGACTTTTACTAGATTATTTTAGTGTATTTTTAAATTATTTATTCAAATTACCTAACATTATATTTACAATCTTAAAATTATTGCATACCCAGTTGGATGGAAAGTAAAATGAAACTGTTGGCAAAGTGGATTACTTGTCTCTAAACACAGTTCTTTTTGGCATTTATCTGACAATATAAGACGATCAATTACAGCAACCTTAACGTCTTCATGCACATATTTTCACTAATAATATCCTTGTATGAATGTCGACTGTAAATATTTTCTTTCATGTTTTGCTCTTTTCATGACGTAATTGCTATTGCTTGGCTATTTATTTTTGCCATTTTTTCTCATACTTCAAAACATGAATTATGAAAATGAGCAGCAAAACTGTGAACAATATTGAATATTTCGAAAAAAAAAATTGTGCTCAGACTTTTTTTTTTCTGCTCTTCTTTTAGACTGATTTCTTCTACAAATTATATTAATCATAAGCTCAGTTAGCTATTAGAACAACAAATTTGAAACAGTGAAGCTTCTTTCGCTCTTGATATATATTGTCGAAAAAAACCAATGAAGATAAAAAGAAAAAAGAAAAAAAAGATATAAAAACAAAAGAAAAAACATTAAAAAATCTAAATCTTATTTAAAATAAAAGGAAAAATGTAGAATTTGTTTTGTTTTCTTTACCAAAATTTCCACTACTTTAACAACCAATTTTGAATTTTTTTTAGTCAAACAAACGGACAAAAAGCAAAAAATAAAAATTTCTGTTTGCTAGAATTTGCATAACATTTTATCAGATATCTGCATTTCCAATTCCCATTTGGTTTTCTTACTTTTTTTTTTTTTTTTTTTTTGATGTAAATACAGATTTCAGTAATTAACTTGTCTTCAATACCAGATTAAATTAGAGCTCTAATAAATATTTACCTCTATCTACAGTAATAAATACATCAACATCAAAAAAATAAACAAAGAAAAAAACGGCCAATTTCAGACTGGCTTTAGCACTTTACATACAGTCAGTTAGAAACTTATATACTACTTAATGCTTCCCACTAAACAAAAATTTTGTAACACTGTTGGATATAAGCCGTTACAGGCAATTACTTTTCCTGTTCCCATAATCTTTACAGAAGTTTGAGTAAATATTTATTTATGAAGACAATAAGACGCAACTTCTTGCCGTTGATAATAAATTGATAGAAGAAGACAAGTTGAGATCCAAAATTAAATATCTGTTTAAATATGCTCGGATTTTTTTTTATCGTTTCCTATTTCTAAGAGCATATCAGAAAGAACTGACTCATACTTCGTGGTTTCTAAAAAAATTTTTGCCAAATTTTTGAATTCTATGTACTAACGATGCTTCAAGACTGGATCTTCTTTGTCAAAAACACTTAGATGTACCTTGAACGCGAAAAGGTAGCTAACAGAATACAAGGACAAACAAAAAAGCGCTTCTGTTAATTGCTCTCACTTGCTCTGACCTACGGAAATACTGTCGTTAAATTTTGCAGTAAATAAACCTTTTGACCAAAATACAGCGATTACAACCGTCAAGATATCATTTTTAATTGACAATAACAAATTGATTGCTGAATCGAAACTGAACTTGTACGAATTAAATCCAGCCTACTGTTGCCAGTCTTCGGAAGCAAATCTTCAGCGATTGGTCAATATGAACACAAAATGCCGATTTTTGTAGCATAAAACATACATTTTACCATATACGAGAATGCAACAAATCTCAACCATTCGATATACGTTAAAAATTTTTTTTCTCATGTTCCCTTTTGCACCGGCTGCTGGAGCAATCTTTTCCATCAACTGGGAGAGACTTGTACAAAGCCAATTTTGAACGTACGAAAGCAGAAATTCTACCCTTGATGTTTATAATCGTACTCGACAATGGAGATATGAGACTAGCCTTCAAATGCACTGGTTTTGGAAGAGTCGAATAACCGACATATAGAAGGCAACGTGGAAGAAATGTAAAAAATCAGGAACAAAGAATTCTAGTCAAGCTATGCTCCATAAAAAGCGTAAATGTTAACATCTGTTCCGATCGCGAGTATCTTTTTTTTTGCATTTTAGTACCTTGCGAGACATATTTCTTGGTCCTTTCCCTTTAACGTCAAAGTCGTCAAAGCAGACAAAAAAGAACAACCTTGTGACAATAAAGAGCTTCGGATAAGCTTCACATATCACTATAAAAATCCGCATTCAGCGTATCTCTGAAGCAACAAAATTCGTCATTTGACTCCATTTCCCCATCAATTTGAGATGCAACTTTGTTTTGAAGTTATTAATCTATAAACAGCTATTTTCAAAATCGTATTCTTCTGAAGTACCCGTATGTTCAACTATTTATTTTAATTGTTTCCACTTGTTGTCAAACCTCTTGCTTGTTAACTGAGTGCTGATCGCAGATGCACTTATTGAAATTTGTTACTCCGCTTTTTAATTCAGTTGCAAATATACTGTTGCTTTACCGACTTCAACCGCGAACTTATAGGAATTCAAAAAGTAGCAAATTTTAAAACTCAACTCTACAGAAATTTGATAACAACACAGCCCAATCTTCTTCTGAAGGAATGACCAAAGGTTTCAGACGTTTGTAATTATAAATCAAAAAACTGCAACTATTTTCGTTCTCATGAACATTAAAACCGCAAAACAAATTTGAAAAAAAAAAACATTTATCGCCTGAGCATTGGAAAAACTACTTTGCTAGTACCAAATCAGTCTATTTTTTATTAAAATATAGAAGCAAGTAACAAGATATATTTAGGGCCGACAAACGATGAGACATGTTCCAGATTTGCACTGAATACGATAAAAGTATTGGAAGACTCCGACGTAGAACACATCCGCCACCTATGTGAAAACAATTTAGAATGGCATACAGAATATGACAAAAAATCTGTAAAAATTCTGTCGCGACCCCTTCCTAACTCCAGCCTAGATATGGTTAAGGTAATACTTTTCACGTGAAGAGACGATTCTTGTGTTTAAAATTTTGTAGGATAGAGCTTCAGTGACCACATCCTTTCTCGAAAGTAATTCATAGTAAAAGTTCTTTCGTTTTTAAATAACACTAGAAATATTTTCGTCTTTCCGCTAAAAGAATAAAAATACAGAAATCGAACCAGCCAAATACAAAATAATATTAAAAAAGAAAGAGGTAAAGTAACGAACTAATAGATGAAGTACATGCGTAAATTTTTCCAAGTAACTGACAATCGAAAAAAAAAGCACCAGCAAGGATAAGCAAAAGAACGACAAACATACTGAGATAAATGATCAGCCCTTTCAGCAAAAAAAGTTACAGGCCAGTATATTTATGGATGACGTTAAAGCATCAACAGCTTACGACGTACTGCACGATGCCGCCTACAGAGAGCACTGGGACAAGTATATGCGTAGCGCCATTGACATTGGGATTATAAATCCAAATAACGATATTTGCTATTACGCTAGTTAGTTACTGACAATTGTTTCGCTCTACTTTCGTCACAAAATCATTTTTATGGGCCGAACAAAACTAGATTCTATTATCCTTCATGGCCGCGTTAAATTGAGCAAAACAAAAACTTCAGCGACGGTTTGCTTCTGACGAAAACATTCAAACCATTTCGTACCAGTTTTATAAACTTCGCTTTGAAATAAGGCAAAGTAAAACCACCACAGTCTCTCGCCGTTCTCTCTCATTTCCTACTAGTGAAGAAAATAAACTGTACAGAAAGACAGCAGACAACAACAACACCTCCCTTTAAAAGTTGAAAGCTTTAATTCAAAACCAGTTTCTCTCTTTAGTAAACAATACCCGAGTTTTCTTGCACAATGAAATTAGAATTCCCTAAAAATCCTTTGCGAATATGCATTGGAAAGTTTTTGGCTCCCAACCCAATATATTGTAGTGAAAGCAATTCCACCACTCCGTGGCCGGGATTTCGTTTTACAACGGTCATGGCTGGACATGGGCAAAGAAAAACTCATTTGTAGCCATTCAGTATGCCATGAAGTAAGCATTTCTTATTCGCTCCTATTCTCTTCTTTTTTACTCTATTTTTTTCAATACAAACAATTCATTCATTTTAAAATCTGCTAACTGACCGTAAAAACCTTGGTTTTCCTTGAAGAACTAAAACTTACAGCTTTAGAAATATCCACCCGTAAAGGAATATGTGAGAGGAATTGTTCATTTAACAGCCTATATGATTCGTGAAGTCGGTAACGGATGCCATATTACCTACATTACTCACGTGGACCCCAAAGGTAAGTAACATTTCAAAAAGTTACACGTATACTAATTACCAACAGTCTACTTATCTCAAATATCCTAAAAACTTGCTGATCGGTTACTAAGCAGTCACCTCCTATACGCTTCCAAAATCATTCTGAATTTGATAAAAGCCAGAAATCACAGTGCAAACGCATGATCACTAAGAAACCTAGAAGGCATCTCGAAAAGAGAAAGGACGATTGACCAAAGAAAACTTTACTGAACGGTTAGTACAATGAATATCCCCTTTTAAAAACGGAACCCTCGCCAAGTGGGCCCAAAAAACGATTGACAAAAGCACTTCGGCAAAGCCTACTCAACACAAGGTCAAACCCAAGACCAAACGTGTACAACGCGCACCATTACTTTCGTATTACTACCGCTCGCTGGACTATAACGCTATACGAACAAGCCCTCGAGAATAGCACTTAGCGCCATAATCGCACTTCTTCCGTTGAGCGATCTCTCAAGCCAACATTGACGCTGCAGACTTGGAACGTTTCAACTATGATTGTCATCTTAACGCTTTTTCTCCTCAAAAGCCTCCAACCAAAGTAGAAAGTTTTGATTCAGTCATTTAATTCGGCAACCAGCTTATTCCAGCACGCATTTTGCTATCACTGCAGATCAGAACGCCCTCCGTACGGATTTTCGAACATAGATGCAGCACGCTCAAAAGCTTCGATGCTGCTACGGTACGGCAACTGGAACTATAACATTTTAAGTCAAACAGTAAGTCTCGTTACAAATTGGGTTAAGTCGATTGAGGAAGTAACTATTATACATGTGCGCTTGATCTCGCGAGAGTGACGGTTCCGGAACTGAGTAGAAAAGAAAACCGGTTTTTTTTTCAAAATTACCTTAATCTCAAGTTTCTGCGTCCTGCACTGCTTTCTTAATGAGTGCGACAAATGAAGTTCCAGAGAACCTTCCGAGAATGTCAAGTTTTTAAAGCCAAAAACCTCTGGTGATTGTGTTTCCAAAACGGCAAAACATCACCTCCGTGCCCAAAAACCTCACAGCACAATTGCCAGAGGGACCATCCCTAGTTCCAAGAATGTTTTCCAATGTTCAATTATAAAGTCGTACACATTTTTAACACATAGAATCAGAAAGTGAGAACTAAAACAGTGAAGCTTATAGCAAAGGAAAATTATTGAAGGGTATTATTGTTGAACGGTTTTGAATGCGAATTGCAAATTGATGAAGAGAAGGGACATAACTCAGTGAACAAGTCAGTTATTCGCCAGAATGTAATGCACTGTTTACCCCGCCCTTGCACACCACCAGGAAACCTGTTTATGAAGTGCCACCCCGCGTGCCAAATTTCCAGATTGAAAATACACTAAATTATTAGATATTTCTGGCCTTTCATTCAGATATAGCTTACAAGACAGATTCCAGGAAAACTACCCGCTTGGCTTTCCAACCGCGTCACAAAGGTCCTAGGACCCAGAGTTGTCAGGAAATTGCACAAAGCTTGTCTTGGTTATTGCAGCTGGAAGAACAACAATCGACCAGAATGGAAGCCATGGATTTATCCAGAACAACTAGTGAGTGCCTCTCAATGATGACAAAAAGTGCTGAATACCCTAACTGGAACAAAGAATCACTTCCTCTTTTGGTATTAAAGCAATTTCAGTCTGAAAACTTCCAAAAATAACCTCGAAATATCACTTGACTGGCTAAAAGTTTTCCTACAGTTAGGTGCAAATCGAGTTGATATTGACGACTGTAAACCGCAGGATTATATTCAAGAAGTGGTCGACGAAAGTTCTCTTACTGCTAACGATTTGGGCCAAGACGATCACGATGACGAGAACTGAATATACTTGTGTCAATGTGGAAAAAGCCTTGAGATTTAAGAACTGAAGGCAATTACCTTTACCTTCTCTGATACATGGCACTGGGCAGCAGCAGTGAATATGGGGAGCATAAACTCCGAACTACATAAGCCATTGCCCATTGTTTGCAGCACTGAAAAAGCATCTCTTCCCCACGGTGTCCCAAATAACAGAGCAAACTCTATTCAACGACTATGAAATCCCGTTTCTTTCGTCAGAACTTATTTACTTGCTACCCCTTCTCAACAGCTGCATTCCACTACGGCTTCCACAAATTAATTTACGTTATAAACTGTACTAAAGTGAGATGCTGTAATAGTTTAGCCTGAAACCAATTGCTGTCCAAGCCAGTCGCCAATTAAGAAGCATTATTCTCAAAAGCCGACGTTCGCTGTGATCTGTAAGCATAGAAACGCAGAAATATCT